AAATATAATAATGCTGATCATTGTCAAAAATAAAAAAAGTAGATGTCAAAAAGCGGCCTTCTCTATTGTACTATTGTTGCCAATTAAATAATTGTATTCGTTAAGTTGAAAACAGAATAATTATCTGATTGTCACCTATGTAAAAACATAGGTGTGGTCACAACATCTATAGGAAATACATTTTATGAAATATATATCATAAAGAAATTGTACTTGCAATTGTGAAATAAGTGTTTGTTGTAAAATAATGTCTACAATGCTGGTACACGGAAACTCTAAATTTGCAAGTACAATTTCTTTATGATATATATTTAAATTATTTTATTTTCTATAGATACTAAATCGACTAATAGGTCGTATAATAAATTGACCGTCTATGTTTTAATAGTAATCACTTTTATAGGTATGATAAGTTCATCATCATAGTATAACATAAAATCCTGAAATGCAAATGAGTACAATAAATTAAATATTAAATGTTAATTTAATTTTGATATTAATCAAATATCTAATGACGGGGTGAATAATTACATATTATATATATTTATATATTACAATTGATTAAACTAATATATTAAACAAACACACACACACACGCACACAAATACTTATTGTAATATATAAATATATATAATATGTAATTATTCACCACGTCATTGGTTTAGTATTTTATATTTGAGGAACCAATTTTGGACGCAAACCAATTTGTTAACCGTATATTCCTATTTTCTTGTGTCCATTTGGTTATCATAACTGCTTCTATATTTCGTATGCTCGTGCACTATCTATATTTGTTTAATGTGTTTTTTTCTTTTAATATTTATAATTAATTTTTAATATTTTCCTAGGGCAGTGTGAATATAAATTCACTGTAAAATTTATAAGCGACTTGAATAAAACACTGGGATGCCTAGTCATTGTTGCAGATTTTGTTCGTCTGTGGGAAGATAACTTCTAGTAGATATAAGCGCATAACTCAGTGTAATAGTTTTGCTAACAAAGCATATTAATATAATCCTAATGCAATGTTAATAATACAACGTCTGCACTAAATATGCAACTTATTCAATATAACGGTTTGTTGTTTTAAATTACCCTTATCTTATTCTCCTCCGAGGGTATCAGCCACCACGATCAAAAGACTGCCTATGACTCTAAAAGTACCTAAGACGACGATAGTTAACATGTTAGTTTGATACATTTATAACATAACTAATATTATGTTGTCCTAGTATTATGTCCCATCTAAAATTTTTTTTCATCATATTATTATTATGTTATTCTAATATTACCTCGTTTAGCTCTCGGGTGCATATATACTGCATTTATTGCAATTGCAGTGTCCTACTGTAATTTAAAATAAAGCCTGGAATATATATAGAGCTAGATTACTTAGGAGAGGAAGCTTAGAGAGCTATAGCTCCTAAGAAAAAGAGATCCCATAAAACATTTTGGTCTATATTTTTTTATAAAATAGTGTAAGTAATTTTGTATGATACAATGTTAAATTTTTTTTTTCATACTGATATTTGAGTTACATTTTTTACAAAAAGTAAAAAAAAGTAGATAAATTGATAAAACTAAAACAAAGATGATAAATCATTTTTTTTGTAGAATAAATTATATTCAATTAAACATTTAATCGTTTTGTTCTTTTTGAAACAAACTCTAAGACTACATTATTATTACCTACGCTTTTGGCATTTTCATTTTCAATCGATGGTATCGATATTGAAGTAATCACTCTGGCTGATGGTCGATCTCAAATAGTTTTATATTGGTTTTAATTTAGAAAAACATGTCCTTGCCGTTCCAGTGGTTACTAATCATAATTAGTAGTAGTAGTAAAAAGTGTATGTATTCTTTAGCCAACTTTACATAATAATAATTCTAAGTTCTATTTATTGTAAAAATTAGAGTTATAGAATCAAAATCATACTTAAAAGGTACTTTATTAAGCTAAACGTATAAAAAGTTTAACTTTTTTCCTTTGAAATCGATAAAAACGTTAAAAAATTGTTCATATTTTTCAACATAAGATCACTGCACGCTATAACTTTTTTTTTTCATTGTCAAATTAGACTTAAAGGTATCCGTAAATGGGACCGCTTTATTTTCAATATATTTGTATCAGTATTTAAAGGTTAAAGTAGATGTAGAGTAGACAATTTGTTTAATAACTACATCAATATTAGGTAAGTAATAACGTTTCATGTTAATTTTAATGAAAACAGTTGCTTTAATTTATGGAACTATCTAAAAAGTTAATGACTTTTTTCTTTGAAACTTGTAGTTTTCAAAACAAAATAGATTTGCGCGAATCAAGACAAAAGTGTTTTAGAATTGCAAAAACACCAAATTTTATTATCCAGTAGTCCTGAAATTGTTTTCTTTTGCTTTTGTATGAATATTATCATAAAAAGCTAAAAAGTTATAAATATAGCTTTATTATAAAAAGTATAATTTAATACGACTAAGATTGGTCCTGGGTTAATATTATAAATTAATAGTTATGTATTAAAAAATGTAGTATTTTACCACAATTTAACTAACTTATTTAATTCTCCAAAATATAACTTTACCATTCATGTATTTTGTCTATTGTCTTTACACAATTAATTCAAATGTATATAACAGTAAATCACTATTTAGAAATTTAAGCTTGAATCACAACAATGGTTTTAATAATAATTATTTGCTATATTCACTATATGTTTTAGTTTTCTTATATTTAGCCAAAACAGTAACATGAAAACTCATCTACGCATGCACACAAGTATGACCACATGAATGTAGTGTCCTTGTTTATTTTTAATTAAGTGTCTGCAAGAAAAGATTTCGCCATAGAACTTACCTGTTTCCTGTGAAGTTTTATGTTTTCAATCCCATTCACAAAAATAAAACAAGTTGGCATGAGTTTTTGAGTAAGTGTTTGTTCATTCGTCTGTACAATTTGTTTATCCATTGATAGTAACAATGCAATGCGAATTGGTATTTGTCCCTAAAAAAGGTTTTTATTAAATAATTTTTATAAAAATATAACAACTTGGTAATTTTTCTTTTAAAAAACATTACTGCACGGAAAAAGAAAAATTAATTTATATTGTTAAACTACAACTGACAATAAGGGAGTGTAGAGAGAACTAAAATGTATGAGAAATGTTATACACCGTGTTAAACCTACCCCAACAAAAACCTAACAGTGAACAAAGGCCAAAATCCAGACCCCCCTCCTAAAAATGTCAGCCTATCAAAGTAGTGATATCTACATAGTGGCCAAGTCTGCTATTTCCTTAGTTCATAACCACCCTTCACTCCTACTTTCATGAGCAACACTGCTCTTTTATTTGTATTGCTTAACGCTTGGCGCATTAATTTTGAGAAAATTGCAATTTTCAGATTTTTTCCTTTATTTACACTATAAGACCCACCTTTGTGCCAAATTTCACGTTTCTATCTATACGGGAAGTGTCTTATAATTTTGATGATGAGTGAGTGGGTCAGTCAGTCAGTAACAAAAATGCAAATTTTGAAATCCTCCCATTTTGAAACAGTTCAATATTAAAGGCTCGTATTTTTACAGTGTCCTAAGCTACACGAGTTTAATCTATATTTCAAATTTCAAAAGCCTATCTTAAGAAGAAACAGAGTTGTGTGGGTTAGAAAAACTGAGTGAATTGGTTTGTGTAAACATACACTGGCATTGCTGGAACTTGGCCAGCGCACTGCAGTGCGCTCAGATTAAATGGAACATTTCAAAAATATGAAAGACGGTCTAGCCAATCAAATAATTCTCTCTTTGCTTTTATAAACCTATAACGAAATATCGGATGTCTTTGAAGTATGGACGTTGTAATGTCCAAAGCAAATATATGCTAAAACAATCCATGGCAACGCGTCATGATCAACCACCATTTTGTTTGATTATTAATTTTATTTCAAGTCAAATATTTGTAAAGTTAAGTGCCATTGCATTGAAATTTCTCGGAATACTGCTTGTTATTTTAAAATGCGCGATTTTAACATAAATCGTATGTTTATAACATGGTCTTTGATTTAACTTATTAATCTATTTATTTGAACTATTACATTTCCAACCGTTATACAATACATCCGAAGTGCTTGTTGTTGACATTTTGGATAGTAAGTGAGTAGAATAACATAATGTCACTTTAAACATACTTATTTTATAGATAGAAATACAATAACGAAAGCTAATACAGTGGGGCCTGGGTATATTGGTTTTTTCGTTTGTCTATACAATTCATTAGTCTATCGGCGGTGTTTTTGCGGATTTGTAATGTTTAAATTTGACTAGTTTGCTCAGTTCCCTAGGTAAGGTGATTCAATTTTGGATTTTAATTTCTATGTAAACTTTTACCACACTCCTCTGGTAAATTCCTTAAATGTAATCAATTTGTTTTGATGTAGTTATGTGTATTTGATTTTCCACGAGTTTTTTCATTATAAATATGAATGATAATGAATAAATGAATTGTAAATACAAATGCCAAGATTTTTGACAAATTATTAAATTTTATTTTTTTTATGTACATTATTATTAAAATGAAGTTGCGAAAAAAGAACCAAAACTTTTTAATTATTACAATAAAGCCTTATTTATTTACAATTGATTAAAGTACAAAAATGTATAGAAATATAACTATAATAAATAAAGTAGTAGTATGGTTTTATTTTATATTGAGGTTATTACTTGTTTTTTTTTTTTTAGGTTTTGTTGAACTGATGCATATAGTAATAAGTTTGAAGAACCTAAACTCGAGAGCAGTTCTTATCTAATGGTATCAAATTCAGAGGTGCTTTCTATTGTGTAAGTCTATTTAATCATTAAATATATCCTTTTGCGCAATCATCACTATGATTCTGACTACATCCAATCATCTTTGATATATTTGTGTAAGTGTAAATTTGACGTTAATTAAAATTATTATTTCCCATTCAAGATAGAAATTGATAGAAATCAAGTTATACCCGTCGTAATGGATAAACATATAGACCCTCTTTCCACTGGGTAAGTCCAATTTTTATCGCAATTTGGATAACGACCTGATTATCCTAATTTTAAACCATTTTTACTAATAATTGTGTGTAAAAAAGTTTCGTAAAAGACATTTTTTGCTTTTAGATTAGGAGTATCTGATTTGTTCCCAATTACATACTTTCTTCTCTAGTGAATAATCTCAATTTTATTGTTTGTCATAATTTTGATATAATTATTAGTTTAACATGTTCTTTTAAGTTTTGTTGAATCAAACTACGATATGACAAGTATTAAAGTTGAAAAAACTGAAGTCGACAACATTTCAAATTCAATTCTGGAGCCCCTATCTATTGAGTAAGTCTATTTGTTAACTGTTCACATTACCACCATTATTAATACAACAAGTTTCTAACGAAACATTTAAAAGTCAAAAATATATTTTGGGAAACATCAACATATAATTTTATTACTACTCTACAAATGTGATTTTTTTAATTTTAGCAAACCAAACATCATGTCTGTAAATAAATGGGAGGTCGACGAAATCGATATTGATTGTTATTTCAAATCTACGATAGTAATTAAAGAAAATCAAGAATTAGCAGTTGTAAAAGACGAATATGTGGACACGCCTTCTACTAGGTAAGTCCGTTTTTTTTATCGTCATTTATATAACCAAAAGACAAAAAACCCAGTTTCAATTTCTTTGCGCAGTACTTACCTGAGATTAATGGTTCTTAAATTTATAATATTGTATGCTTCGTTATAACATTATTTACAACATTGTGCCAAGTACAACTTGGTACGTAATTTAATATAACAAGGATTTCCTTTTGCTCAGACTTCAAAAACATATTATGGGAGACACAAAAACATAAACTCATTACTTTACAAAGATTGGTTTTTTTTGTTGATAGCAAATTAAACACTATGTCTGTAACTAAATGGGAGGTCGACGATATCGATAAAGATTGTTATTTCAAATCTACGATACATATTGAAGAAAATCAAGATGTAGCACTTATCAAGGACGAATATGTGAATACTCTTTCTACTTCGTAAGTGTTATGTTATTGTCGTCATTTTAACAAAACTCAATGTATGAACGAATGTTTGTACCGATTTTGTTAAAAATTATAAAGCATGTCTGTTACGATGAAAACAATTTTTCAATTTTTACGATTTTTTTAAAAAATATATTGCCCATGATCGTAAAAAGTATTTCAATTTTTAGCTTGACACCCCTCTTTTAAGAAAAAAAAACTTTTTAGATAACACATTTTTTATTTCATTGACTTTCTGTTACGCGAATTTTTTTTAGAAAGTTAAAGTTATTTTACATGAGAAACTGATTTTTAATGATTTTTTTAATAATAAAGAAGCAAGGTTCTATAATCATGACTAATAGTATCTGAAAAAGTATAAACTATTTAAAATTCAAATATGTTTCATAATTGGGTCTTTTAAAGTGCATTGGTATTAAAAGCAAGTCGTTAGTTCTTTAGATTAGATAAAACAGGTTTTTTTTTTATACATCTCAATGAATAAATTCTAATCTAATTATTTGTGTTTGTAATTACCTACTATACATGTTCAGAATATTGTTATATAAATTATTTTACTTGTTTCTTTAAGTTTTGGTGGATCAGACTTCAATACAACAAGTATTAAAAATAAAGAAACATCAGTTAAAAAACCAAACACAGTGGCTGAAGTTAAACAGGAGGTCTATGATATCGATAGTGATTGTTGTTTTGTATCTGATATAGAAGTTGAGGAAACCCAACACTTAGCAGTTATTAAGGACGAAGATGTGCATCTTCATTTCATCGAGTAAGAATGAAAATGAAAAATGTTTTGTTGAACTATTAAGTTATTATCATAATAATTGTATAACTATTCTTTTTAGCACCACACTCAGTAATATAAAATACAATCAAATTCAAACTGAAGAATTCCCATCCACGGCCGAGAAACCATTTCATTGTGAATTAGGATTAAAAACATTGTCATCATTGAAGCTAAACAATCACAAAAGGCCACACACAAGCAAGAGGTCTTTTCAATGTGAAATATGTAAGAAGACATTTTCACATTCTGGAAATCTTAATAAACACAAAACGACACACACGGGTGAGAAACCTTTTCAATGTAAGATCTGTAAGAAGTCATTTTCACGTTCTGATAACCTTAAATTACACAAAACGACACACACGGGCGAGAGGCCATTTCAATGTGAAACATGTAAGAAGTCATTTTCACAATCTGTTAATCTTAATAAACACAAAACGACACACACGGGTGAGAAACCTTATCAATGTAAGATCTGTACGAAGTCATTTTCACGTTCTGATCACCTTAAATTACACAAAACGACACACACGGGCGAGAGGCCATTTCAATGTGAGATATGTAAGAAGACATTTTCACGTTCTGGACACCTTAAATTACACAAAACGACACACACGGGCGAGAGGCCATTTCAATGTGACACATGTAAGAAGTCATTTTCACAATCTGTTAATCTTAAAACGCACAAAACGACACACACGGGTGAGAAACCTTTTCAATGTAAGATCTGTACGAAATCATTTTCACGTTCTGATCACCTTAAATCACACAAAATGACACACACGGGCGAGAGGCCATTTCAATGTGATATATGTAAGAAGACATTTTTACGTTCTGGACACCTTAAAAATCACAAAATGACACACACGGGTGAGAGGCCATTTCAATGTGAAATATGTAAGAAGACATTTTCACGTTCTGGACACCTTAAAGTACACAAAATGACACATATAGGTGAAAGGTCCATCATGCCAAAACATGTTTAAACATTTAAATAGTCATAAAATAATTAAAACTATCTGGAGTAATCCATTTCATTTTCTATTAAATATGTGTTATTGATCCATAAAAAACTTTTTGTTACTTTCTTTATTTATTAATATATGTATACTGTTATATTTTATTTAAATATTACATTTTAATATTCTATTTGTTTTATTTAATTTTATTCTTTAAAAAATTTGTAGTTTATTGGCATCAACTAGTATACAATTTCTGAATTAGTCCTATTTTATGCATTTTTTTAAAATAAGGAAACTGGTTATCAAGCATAATAATAACAAGAATTTATTAATTATTTAAGAATAAAGTATTAACAATATGATATAATATCTTCAGTTAGATCTTGTGTAGAACTTAATATTTTATGTATTTGGAGGCAATTCACAGTTTTAATGTAAACAAAAATAAGAATTTAAAAGTTTATTTCATACTTAATTATTTTTTTTATCAACCATTATAGTGCTAATGTATTGTTAAAAAAAATAAATAAATAACTACAAAGTTATCTAGTGTAGGGCGTTTATAGAGTCTTGTTCTAATCAAAACATTTAGTATTAATAAGTGTATGATTCTTTAGCCAACTTTACATAATTAGAATTCTAAGTTCTATTACCAAAATCATACTTGAAAGGTACTTTATTAGACTAAACATTTTAAAAGTTTACCAAAGCGTTTATATTTTGAAAGTCACTGTACTGGTTCTTTTTTTTTTTGCAAAAACCTTAGTGGACCAACTAACACATAATCAATGTGTTGTTGAATGTAGTTGGAATGGCCGATAATAATTCATGTCTCAATCGCTTATACTTAAGGGGCCTCTACACCAGCATTTATTAAGGAGTATTGTGTAGGCAATTTCAAAAAACATTTACTTACTTTTGACAACTATAATAACAACAGACTAGCAGTTATCGATGAAGATTTTAATTATAACTATAATAATAAATGAATACAATTTTAATATAAAAAGATATTTTTTTTGGTTTGTCAACGTTTTTCCGTTTACGTTGTATAGTACTTTATCTGAAGAATATTCCATATAGAAATTTGGAACAAAATCGACTATTTTAAAAAAAGTCATAATAAATATGTAAATTTTCAGGTAGGTATTTTCCCAATTTTGAAGGGAAAGAGGTAAATTTTCAAAATTTTACACAAGAAATTAACTTTTACATTAGATTTCTAATATATAAAGTAAGTACATGAAGAAATCGGTTTAGCGGCACACAAGATACGTCCGAACACAAAAAAACCACATCATTGTAAAAACAACACCTTCTCAACTACGCACGGTGGTCTAAAAGCTAATTTAGGTGGTTAAAGTAAATTACTTTCAATTAAGTAACGAATTTCGAAAACTTAGGTAAGTGTTTCATGTTAATACTATAAATATTTATTATTTTACTATTAAAACAAAGTTAAAAAAGTAGTACGAAAATGTTAATTCAATATATAGACAATATAGTACTTGTTCTTCAGTCATCCCAAAATTTGGTTTAGTTTGTAAGTGGTTCTAGCGGCAGTGTTGGAATAAATTATTCTGAAATTGACGACAATTTGAATTGGAATGACACTGATTCTCGGTATTATAATTCTTATAATGATTTTTATCGGCTATTCAAAAATAGAGGTCCACTAAATCCGCATTCTTAAAAATCGAGAAACTGTTTATTTGAAATTTTGAGGGCACGGTATGAAAATGTAAAATGGGAACCGCAATACATTTAGTCAGTCAACCGTTCAATTTTAAAGTTTACTTTGGTCTTACAAAGACTTTGGTGTAAAAGCCATTTTAAACTTTATTATAATTAACTAATGTAATATGAACATTTTTAAGAACAACTTTCCGAGGAAGCACAGGAAGCTCGAAATAAAGACTATAAAAATTATCGCGAACATCACTCGCGAAAAATTAGTAGAGTAGCTCAAAATCAAGACGTTCTACACTTATTATTTGTCACTTCAGATCCATATACTTCATTAATTTGCAACATACCGACAAAAAAAATTGGAGTTGAACAATGACGTAAAATCATTATTAAATTTAAGTTATGAAACAGATGAAGAAGTTTGCGAAAGTTAAATTTCAATTTAAAAACAAAATTTATGTTTATTTGCACCTCACAATTATACGTGAATTTAAAAATTGATATAAATTTTGAACTCTTTGACCCCAAAAACATTGAGTATCACTTTTTTATCATTTTTCAGACAAAATCTGATGAAAATTTGATCAATATAAGTTTTTTCAACCTAAAATTGCGTTTCAGACCACCGCACAGTGGTATTGTAAGATGCAAATAAACATAATATTTTGTTTTTAAATTGAAATTTAACTTTCGTAAACTTCTTCATATGTTTCATAACTTAAATTTAATAATGATTTTACGTCATTGTTCAATTCTTTTTTTTTTGGTATTTTGCAAATTGAGGAATTATATGGATCTGAAGTGACAAGTAATAAGTGTAGAACGTCTTCATTTTGAGCTACTCTACTAATTTTTCGCGAGTGATGTTCGCGATAATTTTTATAGTCTTTATTTCGAGCTTCCTGTGCTTCCTCGGAAAGTTGTCCTCAAAAATGTTCATTTTACATTAGTTAATTATAATAAAGTTTATAATGGCTTTTACGCCAAAG